AAAAATTTTTTAATGTTCATTTACTGTTATGTATATAATGATACATTCAGATAAATGCAATTTTCCACAGTTGGTTTGGTCCACTGGAATGCTACTTCCTCAACTCATCTGCTCAGCGGTACCCATTGGAAGGTGTTAGAATTTAGGAGTAAGTTATAAAATGTTTAAAAACTTTTCTAATGTAGGAATATATAAAGCAAGAAGTAATTCACGAAACTGCTTCAAAGTTGTCAGCCAAGAGTTGTTAAACAGTGAGTCGCCAAAACAGCTGCAGATTTTTATAGCAGAGATTGTAATCATTGCCACTTGCTAAAAATTAAGTGGCAATAAACAGCGGATTTATTATGTAAATCAGTTGTATTAAAAATATACTACACATCTGATTATCTATTTAAATATTCAAAATTACTAAAATGAACAAAATGTACAAGTTATTTGTTTGGTTAAAACCAATCAAGTAGCCGTGGGTCACTAAACCTATATGTCATTTACATAGTAACATCAGGTTTACATTAATTCCTAAAACATTATTAAAAGTATATTTTATATACGGATATATGTACACCTCTATATATATCCTGAGAAACACACCTCTCAGTGTATATATCCTGTGATGCCAAATTTATTCAATTAATCGTAGTAAATTAAGAAAAAGTGAAGCTTACTCTCACTGTTCATGAAGCAGTGAGTTATTAGCATGTTCATTAAAGATTTAATTTTTTTGTTGGAAGTTAACAAAGATTTACAAACTTATACATGTTATGGAAAGGGCAAAATTTGAAGATTCTAACATTACGCTTTTGCGGTTACCCAAAATAATGCATAGATTAGCACTTGACCATTATGAGGAGAAATATGAAAGATGTGCTCCACTCACCGATGTCATCACAAGGTTGTGGAGTGATGAGGATGTCATCTATGGCCATGGAAGCGTAGTCGTTCCTGACGCCCTGATAGGCCTCCCACATCAGGTGGTGCTCACTCTCCCATACCCCAGGCACTGGCACCCAGGCGGACATCCACATATCAATGTTGCTCCCTGGACAAAGGTTGCTTTACTGTTAATAGTTAATGAAAGAATTTGTAAGATTTGCAAGACATTTCTTCCTAAGAGGCCATTTAGCGAATTATTGTTAATCAAAAAATTAGTAACCCATGGAAAGGAATATACCTATTTACCTTGGCAAGATACGATGGGATGACATATATATATACCTTATGACTTATCAGTGAGGTAAGTCTGAAGAACATGTATGACTAAAGAATTTATGTAGTTAATCCATATATCGAAAAAAAAATGTAATATCGTTGTAAAATCACATATATTTATTAAGCACGACTAGATTTTATCAAATCTAATTTTGGGAAGGTGTTGCTTACAGAAATAAAACACAATCCTAATTTTGCCTACGTGGCAGCCATAACATTTATAGGTCAAAATAAATAAACAGTCGTTATTCCTAAAGTGTCAGCAAAACACTCAAGGTAACTCACAGTTTTCTTGCCAGAGTGGCCCGCTAGTACTGTCACTGTAGACGGTGAGTCTGTCTTTGTTGGTGGCGCCATTGTGGACGTACCAGAAGGAGGCGCACTGTTGCACACCTTCGGATTGTGAGATATCTGGGGAAGTGAGGAGACCCACCACTCCTTCATGTTCGGCAGGAAAGAGCGCCGCCTCCATATAGTGGCCTGCAGGAGACATACTACTTAACCTACACCTTGTGATGAATGACCCAAGAGGGTCTAACGCTTCAAATAACCATTATAATAATCAACCTACACAGCAATGTAAACAAGCCAAAATATTAGATGACTGACATGATTATTTCATAAATCTCTGGATTACCTGAAGATTTGCTCTCCCCAACTTCTTAGGAAACAGATTAATAAGTTATGTCTTTTTTTTTTTTTACTTTATGTACAATTTATATTTTTGCACCCAATCTAGAAACTTAACCTTGTCTTGCTAAACTTTTAACAACATAAAATAATTTACGTTACCTAGTTAATAATATGCATGACTTAAGTTTTCCTTCGTTGGGACAGTAGCAATTTTCACCCAGTAAACAGTCCGTCATATTATGTCAGTATAATAACTTTCACTAAGTGTACTTTCCGTCATATTACGTAACTTGCAATTTACATATATTTAAGTAACTTGTTTAAAATAAAAAAAAATTAGTTGAATGAGTGCGCACCATATCCAGTATTGTAGGTGTGGTCTACAGGGACGTGGTGGGTGTTGTTATCAAGACGAGGGAACACACGAGCCCATCCTCCATCACTGGTGTAGCCACACACGTCTATATCCTCGAAGTCACAAGCTAAACATGAAAAAAAAATGCCATTAATTGGTCTGTAATCTTTCAGTTTAAATCTCGACAGTTTGTTTTTCCTGATGCTGAATACCTACGTGGTGTAAGAAGTTATTATTCATCAAAGACTTCAGTAGATGGGATGCTGTGTATGAGATACAACGTACAGGTTTACGACCAGTCAA